AAWTWARGKWARKTYYTTWWKTTTTAGTTTGATTTCTTGAAATATCTGATGTTTAGGTTAGTATTGGATTYGATTTTTGGCTTTTTAGAGCTCAAAACCGAGTTTTAGCGGCTGTCATGARGACARCTATGTATATGTRTAATTTATGTGAGAACCCGGTTTATGATGTRYATTTTAGCCCAATTGAGTTTCMTTGTGTTATATCTTCACTTTGATGCATTAGAACCTACAATCCTTCWAGGAYTGGAACAAAGTGGGTGYATACATCTTGTTAGTAGAAGTATTTGTTGGTAAGTTAATTTCATGTTTAGGATAGTTTTGAGTTCATCTAATATGTTCAATCATGAGTTGAAGTTGAAAAATTGTTATCTTTAACAATCTTTAGAAGTCAAAGTTTAGTGATGAACTTTAAGACATTGAAATATTCATGAAAATGTTAAGATGYTTGTTATGGTTTGTTTCTTTGTATTATTAAGATGTTATTAGATGGATTGAAGAAGAAAATTTCCACTCAAGTATGTTTTGATGATAGATTAAAGGGTATGTTAAAAACAGTTGACTTTTTCCAAAAAGTCAAACTGTTTCTTTTAATTTTTAAAATTGAGTCGTTAATTTTTAAAATTGAGTCGTTATATGCAAAATTATGAATTGAAATTTGGTGGATATTGTTATGATAGATATATAAAGGTGTTACAGTAATTATTTCAATGTTCCTTATAGGTTTTGATGGATTTTCAAAGTTAAAATAATGTTTGAGTTTGATTTGATCAATATATGAAAACCTATGCATTCATTAGGTTKTAAGTGCAAAAATGAATATGCGAACCTTATAAAAATATTTTAATGTGTAWGATAAGAATATTTTGGGGGTTAGAATGTGAGCCAAGAGCCTCAGAAGAAATAAGAGCAAGTCACCKRATTAGGTTATTTTGATGCTGTAAATTGTAAAAATTGTWTAAAATCACTCGTAACTCGGATTTAGAYGTGTAATACCAATATGGAAYGGTTSAGAAGTCCTATACAATCTATGTGTTGATTATGAGGTATTTTGGGCTCTAACTAGTTTAAAAAAATGGGTTTTTGCAGAGTTGTCCGTTTTAAACTCAAATAAAAGATTTGWTTMTWTTAAATCCATGTAGGAAAAGRTTCAGAGTCCATTTTTGWGTGGTTCTTGATGGTATGTATATGAAGATAAGTAAGTTGTCTAAATCTTTTGTTTAGGATGTTTGTATTGATGTGAGAATCATRTGTGGATTGTTTAGGTAGCACGATGGATAAGCAAGTTGGGCACCGGAGGCTAAKGTGAGTTTCAATTAGATTTTAATGGGGTGCATGTCAAACGTAATTACTTTTACATGATTTATTTTGTTGGATGTGTTTTGATGAATAAAGTAGAAAATGCATGATTTTAAATTATGATATGAAAGGAAGGTATTGATGTTTATACAAAGTAGGCATGGAACGACTCGTGGATGGGGCGGGTTTTGTAATCCCCAGCCCTGATTTTTAATAATAGCCCCGGCCCCAGTCCCCGGCGGGTATGGGGATTAACATCTCATCCCTGGTCAAACTCCAGTCAAACCTTATGAAAGATATATGTTAGTTTGAGTCTACTGGGATCCCCGACCCCGATTTAAGTCTACCGGAGATCCTCGGCCCCATCCCCGGGCCCTATTTTAGCGGGGAATCCCCATCCCCCGTTCAGGCCGGGTGAGCCGGGTTCCCCACCGGGTCGGAGCACATCACCATCCTTAATACAAAGTGACTTTATACATATTAAGTATGTCTTGTTTCTTTGATAAAGTATGTAGGAAATACTTTGGTAACTTKGAAAGGTGATATATATTTTTAAATMAACRTGCTTTGTAAACARAAGAGGAAAATTTTACGTTGTATAAATGGGGGCATTGTGAGTTATTTATTTACTCACTAACATGAGAATGGTAGATCCGGATCTGGCGAGCTTAGGGTCACCCTCTTTGTTACGTTTG